AGCAGGAGCATATGGTTTGGGGGAGGAACTCGGTGAGAGATGAGTAGATGTTACAGGAGAGGTCACACTGGGGTCAGATCTTAGGGCCTTAGAGGCCATTGCAAGAACATGGGCCTTTTCTCAGTGGAGCAGGCCTGGGTACTGAGGGGTTTTTATTCAAGGAAAGACTTTCATGTTAACAAGTTCATCTAGTGCAGCCGTGGGCAAACTATGGCCTGCGGGCCGGATCCGGCCCATTTGAAATGAATAAAACTAAAAAAAAAAAAAAAGACCGTACCCTTTTATGTAATGTTGTTTACTTTAAATTTATATTAGTTCACACAAACACTCCATCCATGCTTTTGTTCCGGCCCTCCGGTCCAGTTTAAGAACCCATTGTGGCCCTCGAGTCAAAAAGTTTGCCCACCCCTGGTAGGAGCTTCTTGGGGGAAGGATCTTTGTTTTAATAGTATAGTGTAGCCTAAGCATGTAGGACGGCACCTAGCATAGCAGCCACTCAATCAATGTTTGCTGAACTAAAAATGAGAAAATATGCACAATGACAACCAACAGTATGTTGCTATCAAATTTCAACTCCAAGCTGTACATATGTCAATATAAAACCATAGAGGTGCATAGGGGCTAGGGGTACTGTATTATCCTGTTAAAAAGTTGGGAGGGGGTGGGCTGGAGAAGGGGCATGCATGGTTCAAGGAGTGGGCTGGAATCAGTGTGGAAAGTTTTACTTGTTATAACGGGGGCTTAAAGTTTAGCTCTTGAGGGTTTTTAAACAGGAAGGTGACCAACTTAGATCCATTTTAGAAAAACAATTCTAGCAGCTGTGAAACAAGGAGTTGGGTGAGAGAGATACAAGGGGCAAGAAGACACTGCTGCAAGGGACAGATACTGATCTGAACTTGGCTGTGGTCATGGGATAAGAAGAAAGGCATGAACAGCCCTGAGATAATTCAGATGCAAAATCAGCAGGAACGGTGATAACTGCTAAGTAAACAAAGGGAGTACCAGAACTGGACCAGACAATCAGCTTGCTCTAGGACATGCTGAGTGAAGTGTATTCAACAGTTCTAGGCAGCTCAGGTAGGATTAGACACCAAATTAGTTCCTGTAACAGGGGCCCTACTAAAGTACAGCACTTAACTCATTGTAAGTATTTATTTACATACCTGTTTCTCCCCTGATAATAAAGCCAAAATCAACCATGAGACTGAACAAAGATATGTGAAAAAGAGGAAATAATTGTAGAAATCTGAGAATAAAATTGTAATAGTCTTGAGTTGCTCTGCCTTATTCTTTAAAATGTATTTTCAAAAACTCTTTAATTAAAAAATGTAAATCTAATAAAAATCTACATGTGAATATTGATTACAATTTCTTTTAAAAATAAGTTTTATTGATTTTAGAGAGAGGAAGGGAGAGGGAGAGATAGGAAAGTCAATGAGAAGCATTGATCTGCTACCTCCTACAAGCGCCCCCCGGCCCCGCCCCTCGCCTCCCCCCCCCCCCCAACCCCCCGGGATCAAGCCTGCAACCCAGGCATGTGCCCTGACCGGGAATCGAACCAGTGACCTCTTGGTGCTTGGGATGTCACTTAACCAACTGAGCCACACCGGCTGGGTTGGTTATAATTTGTGTTCATGGATATAAATCGTCCATGAATGGTTTATGGGAGGATATGGAATTCAGGATAAAGAATTCAGATCCTTGACAGGAAATAGAGTAAAAATGGGAAATGAACTTAGTATTTTTGCAATAGTAACAATGTATTTGATAAATTGTACACATTTCAACCTATAATATAAATTTTCTACCTCAAGTGAAAGCAAACATCTGTATTAGAAAATATCCCACCACAATCAAACTTCTCAAAAAAAAAAAAAAATGGCCCAAAATATTGGAATAATTCAGTAAATGTATGTGGCCAGACCTCCTCTCTGTTAAAATACGAACTAAAGTACCTCTGAGCCATTTTAGGTCAAACTTGAAAACTCTCAAGATGTTTCAGTACACTCTTATTATACATTAAAGTGCCTCATGGGAAAGGTAAGTTCTGGTAACTGGATGCTTCTGGAATACTGAAATTATTCAATGTGTGAAGAAATTGTACCCCTCTTTAAAGACTCTAACAGTTTTTTGGCGGGATATTGTGTTATTCAATGTGTTAATAAAATGCTGTTTTAAAAAAAGTGTTTCTAGAGGGAGAACCAAGATGGCGGCATAGGTTAACGCCGGAGTTTGCTGCTTTGAACAACTACTTCAAAAGTGAAACTAAAAGACGGAACGGACATCACCCAGAACCACAGGAACACTGGCTGAGTGGAAGTCCTACAACTAGGAGGAAAGAGAAACGCATACGGACACTCAGAGGAGGCGCAGTGCTGAAGTCAAATTCTGAGGTGCAGAGTGCGCAAGCGGGCTGGCGGCGGAGGGTGCGGTTGGCGTTTTCAATCGGGAGGGAGTCGCAGACTCTGAGCTCCAGATCCGGGCGAGTCTCTAGGGACCCAGACTCAAACGGGAGAAGCGGGACTGTCTGGCTTTGGTCAGAGCGAGTGCAGCTTTCTCTCTGAGCTTTGCAGCGGGTGCTGGGACTCAGAGAGGCAGAGCCCCTGGGGACAGGACTGAGAGCCGCCATAACTGCTCTCTCCGGCCCACCCTGTTGATCCTGTGCGACCCGCCCTGCCCAAGCCCTGCACAGAGGCTTTTGCTGGATAGCCTCAGGCAAAGGCTAGATTAGCACCTCCCTAGAGGACAGAAGTTCTCTCACTGCTGACACAGCTGATTCTCATAGCCACCTGGCCTGGAGGTCAAACCCTCCCTGGAATTAGCTACAACAATCAAGATTTAACTATAAGACTGCGAACAAAGACCACTAGGGGGTGCACCAAGGAAGCATAACAAAATGCGGAGACAAAGAAACAGGACAAAATTGTCAATGGAAGATATAGAGTTCAGAACCACACTTTTAACGTCTCTCAAGAACTGTTTAGAAGCCGCCGATAAACTTAATGAGATCTACAAGAAAACTAATGAGACCCTCGATCTTATATTGGGGAACCAACTAGAAATTAAGCATACACGGACTGAAATAACGAATATTATACAGACTCCCGACAGCAGACCAGAGGAGCGCAAGAATCAAGTCAATGATTTGAAATGCGAGGAAGCAAAAAACACCCAACTGGAAAAGCAAAATGAAAAAAGAATCCAAAAATGCGAGGATAGTGTAAGGAGCCTCTGGGACAGCTTCAAGCGTACCAACATCAGAATTATAGGGGTGCCAGAAGATGAGAGACAGCAAGATATTGAAAACCTATTTGAAGAAATAATGACAGAAAACTTCCCCCACCTGGTGAAAGAAATGGACTTACAGGTCCAAGAAGCGCGGAGAACCCCAAACAAAAGGAATCCAAAGAGGACCACACCAAGACACATCATCATTAAAATGCCAAGAGCAAAAGATAAAGAGAGAATCTTAAAAACAGCAAGAGAAAGAAACTCAGTTACCTACAAGGGAATACCCATGCGACTGTCAGCTGATTTCTCAACAGAAACTTTGCAGGCCAGAAGGGAGTGGCAAGAAATATTCAAAGTGATGAATACCAAGAACCTACAACCAAGATTACTTTATCCAGCAAAGCTATCATTCAGAATTGAAGGTCAGATAAAGAGCTTCACAGATAAGGAAAAGCTAAAGGAGTTCATCACCACCAAACCAGGATTATATGAAATGCTGAAAGGTATCCTTTAAGAAGAGGAAGAGGAAGAAAAAGGTAAAGATACAAATTATGAACAACAAATATGCATCTATCAACAAGTGAATCTAAGAATCAAGTGAATAAATAATCTGATGAACAGAATGAACTGTTGATTATAATAGAATCAGGGACATAGAAAGGGAATGGACTGACTATTCCTGGGGGGGAAAGGGGTGTGGGAGATGCGGGAAGAGACTGGACAAAAATCGTGCACCTATGGATGAGGACAGTGGGTGGGGAGTGAGGGCGGAGGGTGGGGCGGGAACTGGGAGGAGGGGAGTTATGGGGGGAAAAAAAAGAGGAACAAATGTAATAATCTGAACAATAAAGATTTAATTTTTAAAAAAAAAAGTGTTTCTAAATTATACTAAGAACAGCTCTGACAAGGAGTTAATATCCAACGTATGCAAAGAACTCATACAACTAACAAAAAATCCAGGAAAAAAATATGGAAAGAAGACCTGAACAGACACCTCTCCCAAGAAGACATACAAATGGCCAACAGATATATGAAAAGATGCTCAAATTCACTACCAGGGAAATGCAATCACACCTGTCAGAATGGCTGTTATCAACGAGACAAGTAATAACAAGTGTTGGAGAGGCTGTAGAGAAAAAGGAACCCTCCTCATTCACTGCTGGTGGGGGTGTAAACTGGTACAGTCACTATGGAAAATAGCATGGAGGTTCCTCAAAATATTAAGAATGGAGTTACCATATGACCCAGCAATCCCTCTTCTGGGTATCTTCCTGAGAAATTTGAAAACATATGCACACCTGCTCATTGCAGTATTATTCATGGTGGCCAAGACATGGAAACAACCAAAGTGTCCTTCAATAGATGATTGGATAATGACAATATAGTACATATATACCATGGAATACCACAGCCATAAAAGATGAAATACTGCTATTTGTGACAAGATGGATGGACCTTGAGACTATCATGCTAAGTGAAAATAAGTCAGTCAGAGAAAGCTAAGAACTATGATTCCACTCATATGTTGGATATAAAACTGAAACTCATAGACACAGACAACAGTATGGTGATTACCGGGTAAAGGGGGCCAAATTCATGGAGATGGAAGATGATTTGGGTGGTGGGCACACAATGCAATATATACATTATGTATCATAGAAATGTACACTTGAAACCTATATGATCCTATTAACCAATGTCACCCCAATAAATTTAATTAAAAATAAAATTTAAAACATTTATTTAAAAAAATAAATTATCTTATTACACAAGTCCAATTACTGCTGATCCAAGAGTGGGAGGGACAGGGCAGGCATTTTGCAATGACATTTGGTTCTCATTCTCTTAGAAAAATACTAGCATAGCACATCTCCTGCAAAATTGATTGTGAATTACTTCCTATCACATTAAATCAAAAGGACTAAAACCCGTCACATGTGTACAAAGATCAAAGCACTTTCCAGTCAAGTTTTAAACCATAGTCCCATTGGTTTTATTCTGAAAATAACTGTTAGTTTCTTTCTGTAGGAACACTGTGACAATAAATTGTAAGAGTTCTACAGATATTTAATCTTTAGAAAATGTTGTCTGCCATAATTAGGGAATATTTTCCCCAATATCTTCAAAAAACAGTTAAAATTATACACAATAACTATCTTATCATTAGTGTCAACAGTGAACAAAAAAATACAAGTTGTGTGAAATCTGTTAGGATAGGTTGTACATGAATTGATCCTGTATCAGAAAGCATAGAATAATTCAACATTTTAAACATTCCTCCTTATAAATAAGGCAAGTAATTTGATATTTATTTACATTAGTTTTTTTCTTAAGTCTGTTATTTTAGGATTTCTTAATACCTAATGGACTCATTCTGTTAATTGAATATGTAGTCTCAAAATTATACATTTTTTTCCTGCAAATGTCCAAGAGAAGTTAAGCTCCTCCTATTTCTCTAGCAGCTAAGATTATATGCAATCCATAATTTCAGCATATGAGCAGAGTAAAAGGGAAAATCATACTGATGCAGAATGAATCTAAGTTTTGAATTTCAGGCATTAATGACTTGAATGACCCTCTGTGCTTCAGTCTGGAAAAGTTAAATGCTTTAAATAAGTTCATAATTATTGAAGAGGTCCCTAGTGATGCTTGCATCACATCTGGCAATAATGAAGACAAATTAACAGTAAGATTTGAAAATTTGGCAATATGATAAAGGCAAGGCATCTGAGATCACTTCTTTGCACTTTAGTCACTGTGGTCCAAGGGAGAATCAACTTCCTGCCTTGGACTCGGTGTCTAAACTAAAGAAGGAAAATCTTACTGCGATCTGGGTTCCAGGCTCCTGGCTCACAAACAACAAAGTTCTGAACTCACTGAGCAGGAAAACTTTACCCAACATCTCTTCAGAGGAGAATCTGCTTTCTCTAAGAGCTGTTTTCAATTTACTTCAAAGAACTGACAATGACATACAGTCTCACTTCCAACTGGTTCAATTTTAAAGCTGAATGTGCTATATTAACTCCTTCCATACCAAATTTAATTTTTCTTGGGCAAGAGAAGACTGTTTTAACTACAGATGTGAAGAATTTGCTGGAAAAAGAAATCTAACTTCATCATCTGCATTGTTTTTTTTTTTCAGAGAGGTAGGGAGAGGGTGAGATAGAAACATCAGTGATGAGAGAGAATCATTGATTGGCTGGCTGCCTCCTGCATGCTCCCTACTGGGGATTGAGCCTGCAACCGGGCATGTGGCCTTGACCAGAATCGAACCTGGGACCTTTTAGTCTACAGGCTGATGCTCTGTCCATTGAGCCAAACCAGTTAGGGCATTATCTGTGTTATTAAACTTAAGTTTGTTTTATTCTATTGCTTCAAGCTATGTCACTTAACTACTGTTTAAAACAAATATTTAAATTATGTTATGTGTTTAACAGATCTGATACTCAGTTTTTAACAAGTAGAGAGCTATGATGATCAAATTACAAAAATATTTTAATTATTAAAGAATGTTGCTGGATAGCTTAGAATAGCTTTTTCTGTAAGAAAATCAGTAAGAACAGCAGAGAATTCTACCAGCATCCTACTATAACCTGGAACAGTGGATGAAAATCCACGTCTACTTTAGCTGTTTTAACTACAGAAATGTGCAAAAAACCACCCTCGTTATAATTAAAGGGATGGTGAATGTGAAACTATTTGGAAAAGCACAAGGCATTAGACCACATAAGGCATTATTATAATTAAGGACTCATGGCTCCGGCAGTGACTTAAGCAATGATGGTTGTACTATATTACACCAGAGTATAACAAATCTTTTGTTTGAAGAGTTAGAAGCAAATTAACGTACCTTGAATCTTTGCAGCTCCTTCTCACTTACTATATGCTTTCACATACACTAATCTGATTTGAGTCTATATTACAACCCTGGGAGGTAAGCAAAATGGTTGAATTTGCTCATATTTTTATGTGCTGCATATAATTTTCATCAATTTGAGACATGATAATATGAAATAATTAAGCCTACAGTGTTGAAAGCAATAAAAATGCTATTATATAGATGACACTTGGGATCAAAATGATACATTTTATTAAATGTAATGTGCAAAGTAAAATGAAGTGACCTCTATTCAAAAAAAAAGTACAAGACAGGTATTATTTAAATTGCTTTAGTACTTATTTTCAATAAAAAGAAATTCGGCATTATAAAAATACATAAAATAGTCATGGATTTATACCCTTAATTTACACAAGATTTTTTTGTTGTTGCATAAAACAAAGTTATAAAATACTTTAAAAAGAAATTCTTATATGAAAGTTACTCCCAGTATAAAATTTTTATAAATTTTGGTAATTTTGGTCCATCTGTATAAATAAGACATTTTATCCTTTTAAAATTCATAACTCCATTTAAAAACATAGGATTCTCTCTCTTTTAAATAAAAGTCCACTTGAGGTAGTAGTATATTAGAGCTCTTTGGTCCCATTCAGTCTATGTGTCCAAGTCATAAGACTGAAAATTTGGAGTCCTGTGGTTTTCTAAGGTCTGTTTATAGGTACATGTGTGATTTTCTTGCTGAAAATCTGTCCTTTCTTTCCCATCTTCTTCTGACTCAGAGTCCAAGTCTGGGGAAGAATGAGCTTTCAAGTGAAAAGCTCTTGGCTGACAATCCGACGTCTGTCCAAAGCTTGAAAAGACATCAAGGTGAGGTCTCCTCAGAGGCTTTCCAAATGTTCCTAAAAGAAAGAAAGGAAGAAACCCCTTGAGCATGTGGCACCTTTTGCTAACATGAAGTCATCAGAAAGCACTTCAAATGGAGCACCTTGCCCCATGAACATGAATAAACATTTTCTACAAGTCCACATTATGGTATTTGGGGGCATGTGTATCTGTGTTATGGAGACAGAACTTACAGAACTCCTTGTGGTTTAAAGAGATCCCACTTGGGGTGCGTGCCCGAGATCCCCAGGCAGGCCCTGTGAAGTGTTAGATGACAGGATACCTACATCCTTTATATATATGTATATCTCCTCTCAATGTGTCCATTTCTTATCACTTCTATGACTTATAGTAATATTTATCATTGAGCAATGAAGTTCCCCAATATAAGTTCAAAACCCTGCTTTAGGACTTAAGAGCCCACAGTAGTCTCCATGAAGGCAAGTTTAGACAGTAACATACAAGTAAACTGTGCCTGAATAAAGTATCTTTTAAAATAATCCTTATGTCATATTCTTTCCTTTTTAGTAGCACAATATTATTCAATTGACTCAAATTCTTGCCTGAGTTTTATAAAAGATATTATTTTCATTTTTCCCCCAAAAGGAATATAAATAATTATACTGTGACAAAATATAAAACGTCTTAATAGCTGGGTAAAATATTTTAAAATTCTATTTCTTAACAAACGAGACAAGCTGTGGTTTCTCTTCCCCTATCTCCACTCAGTGAAAAGATGACCTAAGTTCTTCCTTCGCGCTGGTTCCAGGCACCAGACGAAAGAAGTCTGCACACGAATCTTGGTGCCAGCTGGCGTCGACCACCACCACTAAGGGCTGTAAGGCTCTGCTGGTCTCCTCTGCCAAAGGTAGTCTAGCCTGGCTGGTGAGCAGTTCGTTGTTGCCAGGTAGGACGCCGTCTACCCTTCGGCTGCAGGTTTAGTTATAAACCACCAGACATCCAAACCACAATCATGCAGTGCACACAACTCCACCCCAGAGGCTGTTGTAGCCCAAAACCACTTTTTCCACATGGCTGACCAACTGAGCTCCTAAGTCATTCCTGAAGCGCCCGTGTTCTAGAGGATGCCACACACGGTGCTACCCAGAGGGCTCCTGAGGCTTCGTTAGGGACTAACTACATAATCAAGTAAAATCCCCCATGCCTGACTCTGCTTTTAGAAACGTGTAAACTAACAAACAGAATGTCATAACAGAATCATTAAAAATCAAAGACATTTCTCACTCGCTCAGCATCTGAAGTCCCACACGCAACGTGGACTAGGAGTCCCATGTCAAGGTATCTCTCACAACTGAATGAACTTACCCATGAACGAATGACTTGAGGTAATTGATGCTGGCTCTGAACTTGGACTAAAATCTAAAGAGGACTTGTTTGGACACACATTTTTCGGGCCAGGTCCTTCATGCGGAGAGTAAGTAGAGTTGATTAACTTCCTCACGTGGGAGGGCCAGCCCGTGTCACTGCCCCTCTGTTCGCAGGATTCTTCGGGAGGATGAGGACATGGGTAGCACTCCTTTTTCTTTATGTAACTGGCCTCACAGTGGTCCATTAACGCAGCTCGCGGGTCCGGGCTGCAGCCTTTTCCATGTTGAGACAGAAGGGGAGAGAGTATCAGAAGGAGAGGGAGGGAGTGCGTGTAGAAACCTTGCAGGAAACAGAGCTCGGGTAGGAAGACCACATACCTGCGTGATAGGCTTCAAAGGGGTCCGGCCCATACACATTCCCCTTCACATACACAGGGCCTGGGGGTCCCAGAAAGGGACACAGGAATGGATCTGTGGCAGCTTCTACGTCGGTTTCACTGCTGTTGTCAATATGACATGTCCCTTTAAAATAGATATCTTAGTCACTGAACCCATTGTATTCAAGTACCACTCAGTACTCTCTCTACTTTGGGCATTTTCCACATTTACAGACTTTGGATACAGCATCATATAAAGGAAAAAATTGCAGAAATTTAGGGTTTTTAAAAAAATGCATCGAAACCTACGGATTGGGTAAACTCGTGACATCTCACTAACAGAGACTTGATGAACCATTGTACCAGGTGTGCTAACCTGTTTGCTGGCCCCACCTGTTGGCAGGGGAAACTGGTCTGTGTATGACTACTGCAGCAAAGCGCTGGGACCTGAACCACAGGATGCCAACAGCACTGTCCCTTCCGCCACAGCCAGTGATCAGGACCACACACTGGCACTTAACCAACGGCCTCTCAGTGCCTGAGCAAAGATGGGCTCAGCCAAAACCAAATCCTATCGTATCTGAGCTAAACAACTCAGAAACAAGATGCCAGTTAGCCGTGGACACAGCCAGTGAAAGGCAAGAGATGTGGTGAGGGTTGGAGGTGCCATGACGAGCCATGTGCCTGGAAGCGGGAACTGGACAGTCAGAGGGTGGCTCAGAGAGCAGCAAACGTGCGGCCTGTGACTCGGTAATGATGGTGACCCCTACAGGGCCCCGAGAGCAGATCAACCTCCAGCCCCAGCACCCAGGCGACGGGGCACTGCTACGTTCCGGTTCTGTCCCTTTAGCCTTTCATGCAGACCCTCCATGAATGTCCTTTCGGTAAACACTGCTACATGTGAACGAAAGTGGGCCTCTGATCTTTGCAACCAAATGAGTGCAATAGGAACATCCAGTTTTATCTCTATGCTATTACTGCCTTACCAAGCCCTCTGTCATTGTTAGTTGAATTTTTGCTCACCACTGACTAAACTGTAAAACTGAAAACAAATATTCTTCTTTCCCAAGTGTGGCATCCCCCACAGAGCAGACACTCAATAAACGCTTGCAGGAAAAGGTGCCAAAATGTTTGAAAATAATGTCAATAGCTTCCACTTGCTGAGCCCTTAAGATGTGCCAAGTAGTTTTCCATTACCATTTCATTTAATTTTCACAACAACCGAACAGGAAGTACTGTAACTGTCCAAGGAGACACAGAGTGTCAGAAGTGGCTCTTGAACTGAGGCTGTGATCTTACTTCTGCTGCCTCCATTTTTTTTCTTTTCTTAAAACCATACAGTTCTTAAAGCAAAGAGTCAGAATTAGAGTTCTCTAATAAAAGTGTTTTTAAATCATTTGACTTTTAAGACCGTGCACGAAGCCAGCCAATGCCATGTAATAAGGAGAACATTCAGGGCACCAAAGCATATTTACAATGTAAAGAAAATACGCTGCATGGAGGAATTAAATTTTACTTAACCCACTTGTCTCCTTTCATTGTCAGGAACAAGGCTTTTTTCGTAAGAAAATGTATCTAATTTTAGCTTTATTACTGACCTTAGGCCATGTCCTCAGATCCGCTTCTGGTGAAAATTAATATTATATGTGAATCTTCCATCAGGTTATTTCAAAACGACCCTCTCTGAGAGCCCAGAGCAAAGATGTTCACCTCAAACACTTACCATTGCTGTCGTGTTGTGGTAAGAAAAATCCGCCCCCTGAGGAAGTGACGAACTGGTGGTGGCTTCCGCTTTCCGAGGAGACGTACCCATCCTGTCTGTCAGCTAGCGTTCCCTGAGATGACAAATAACTAGGGATATCTGCCGGCAAGTTGGTCTCATCTACAATCAAACAGCAGCACTCTCTTAGCCAAGAAGGATCGCAAGTGCCCCGCGGACTTCCCCTATGAACAGCATGCACTGCTTTGGTTTCTGTGCATTCAAATCACCGAGTCCTGCAAAACCAGCTGGTTGTGCAGCGCACAGGCGGGCAAGTCAGGGCTGCTCTGGGAAGCCTGCGCTGATCTCCTACTTTATCGCCTGTGGGATGCCCCTCCCAGATTTCAAAAGCAACAAGTGTTTAAAAAGAAAGGCTTAAGGATTTTCATGTGGTAGTACCTAAGCTCTGGAATCAAGCTTGATTTCTGTGATAGTCCTGACTTACTACCCATAGGAGTTTGCGCATTGGCCTCTGCCTAATAACCAGTGTCCTCCCAGATTCCTGCATACACATGACAAAACTAAAACCTACAGCAGAGTATAAACCTCCTAGCTCAGGGGCTGGTCCTGGTTCTCCATCAGCATCTTACGAAGGAGTTAGGCTACTGAACTCTTATGATGTCCACCGGATCGCACAGCCAACAGGATATTCGGATGAGGTTTTCACAAAAAGTATTAATCTTTAAACGTGGGCTATATTTTGGGCCAGGGTGCTATTTTTAGCTAACCATATTTCTGCAGCTTGAAACAAATGAGTCACCCTTCTGACATGGCCTCAGACTCCAAGACACACATTCTGGAAGAGAATTACCCCGGGATCCCACACACACACACACACACACACACACACATACACACGACTGCTACACCCCATGCCAAGCTTCTGTTTACACACCTGTGTTGGTAATGCTGCAATCTTCATTCCTCCGCCTTGTGTGGTATATGATGACCACCCACACAAGCGACGTGCCCACCACACAGCAAACCACGGCTATGATCACGATGCCCACAGTGGCCCACCCGTCATCGTCTAAGGATGAGGCAGTCATCTGCGGGGAGTCGCAGGTCGGAGTAGGGATCACACTGAGGCGCACGTGGCCTCTCTCAGTGCCCAGCGTGTTAGACATCTCACAGGTGTATTTCCCAGCATCGCTGACATCTGAGTCCACAATGATCAGCAGCTGATTGCCCGCTGCGAAAAAGTGCCTCTCTGTGACCACCAACGGGCTGTCGTCCTTGGTCCAGTTCAGCCTGGGAGGAGGGCTCCCTCCCGCGATGCACTGCAGGACGGCTGTTTCTCCCTTGGTTACTGTTCGGTCCAACAGGGGCCGCAGAAATGATGGTGTTTCTGAAATGACAAGTTATGTCTTTAATCTTTTCAATGAAATCAGGTTTTGCATAAGACCTAGCACTTGAATTTATTCAAAGTGAAAGGTGAAATTTTATTCTCCCATAAACTAATACCTATGTTTCTCTTAAAGCCTAAACATATACAACTCATGAGATTTCATTTCATTGTCCAGGTGTCATTTACTCGTAACACCAGGTAAGGATAACATTTACTATTTTTTAACCTCAATCTCCCTCCCTCCTGACAAGGTTGAGGAACGGTGGAAGAGGGGCAAAGCGTATTTTTCACAAACAGAAAATGTATAAAAATATTTTCGAGCACAAGAGTGTGTTGATGCATACAAATAAATCAGAACATTTAATTTTTTAAAGAGAAACTTTCTTGTGCCAGGTGTCCAGGCCTATATTAAAATTCTGGAAATGATTTACTTTTATTATGGGGTGTTAAGAGGTTACTTTAACTCCTTTAGAGATACACATGACTAACATGTTCACATTTTTCAAAAAGTGTTTGTTTAGGAAAAAGATAAAAAACAAACTCTGATTTCCAGAGTGGTAGGGTAAGCTGAGAAAAGACACTAGGACTCAGTGATGGCGAACCTATGACACGCGTGTCAGAGGTGACATGTGAACTCATTTTTTTGGTTGATTTTTCTTTGTTAAATGGCATTTAAATATATAAAATAAATATCAAAAATATAAGTCTTTGTTTTACTATGTTGCAAATATCAAAAAATTTCTATATGTGACACGGCACCAGAGTTAAGTTAGGGTTTTTCAAAATGCTGACACGCCGAGCTCAAAAGGTTCGCCATCACTGCACTAGGTCCTTCCCAATTTGCTCATGTATTTATGTCAGATATTCTTTGTAGTGTTGGGAACCAGTGGAGACGGCATGATGGGGAGAGCAGGGGCGGGTGAACCCTGCAATACAGGGAAAGTATCTCCAGCTCCTGGAAACAGAGAGAGCAGATTTGTCTCACTGGCTGTGGCCTGGAAGGTGTGAAGCACTCTTGACTTCAAAGGGTCTGAGAAGCCATTTGTTGTTCCCAGGAAAGGGCAGTGTCCTCGGGCCATCTCTCACCCTCACAGCTCTGACACTGAGGGTCTCTGGGTGAGCCCACACCTTTATGATTAATTTATATCACAGAATCTGAAAATACCCACTTACCTAGGACAGTCAGAGTCGCATTGGCAGAAATGCTTCCTGCGCTGTTCTGGGCTGTGCAGCTGTACACCCCGATGTCCTCTATCTTCACATCCACGATAAAGAACACGTCATCCTCAGGCATAACGTGCATACGCCTCTCCCTCGCAGCAGGGAAGTCTGTGCCCCCGTCCTTCTGCCAGGCTATCTGCGGGGCCGGGTGCCCCAGGGCGGCGCACTCCAAGCGCGCCATGGCCCCCGCGCGGATGGTAAGGTCCATGGGTGTCTTGGTGAAAGAAGGGAGCACTGAAATCAGAAACACAATGTGGGCGTTAGCACTGTGGCGTTTCACAGGCTCGTTTTCAGGCCTTTTGTTTTTGATGCTCACAAATGTCCCTGACAAAGGTAAGGCAGGGTTATTTCTAATTACAAGACAAGGAATCTAAAGCTGAGATGGAATGATTAAGTGACTCCCTCAAGGTTACAGAGGTACAGAAATGATGGGGTCAGGATAAAACACAGGTCGCAGGATCTTCAGCCTGAAGGTCTTTTGGCTATTTTCCAGTTTCCTCAATAATTATCTCTGAGATCTTGGGCAAATCGATTTATCTCTTTGTACCTTGACCACTCCATATTTTTTTTTCCTAAGTCCCTCCTGACTCTAATACTCCATGACTTTAAATGTGTTTGGTCCTACAATTTAAGCTCAAAATTGTTCCATGTCAGGCCTCAGCAATCATTTGTGGAATGCAGTAATAAGTCATATATAAAATCTTTCACCGGGGAAGATACAAACGATTAAATGATAAAGTGGCAAGGATCCCATTGTAAACTGTATACCTGCCACACAAAGCCAACCATGATACACTTCTTCTACTAAGAGCAGCTAACACTCACTGCTTTTACAGAGTACTTACTGTATTCTAGGCAGTCTGCTAAGTGCTTTACACCAATTATTTTACTTAATGACTATCATACCTACATAAGGTAGGTACTATTATCCCTAACTGACGGATGTAGGAATGGAGGCACAGAGAGGTTAAGTGACTTGCTCAGAGTCACACAGCTGTAAGCAGAACTGGCAGAATTCAAATCCAGATCTTGGCATTAAAGGCGGTGCGCTTTAACACTATGCTTAGGGTGTCCCATATCAAAGTAGCGTACTGTGAACTCCAAAGAGCACAAGTTGTCTGGTTCATCTCTGGGTTACCCATCATGCTCCATATGGGTCGACATAAACAATGCTTCCTTAGATACAAATAACCAAGAATCTTAACTTTGTGGGATGAGAGGTAGGAGCAGAAAGAGTTAGGTGGAGAACTCTGAGAACCGAGGACAGGATAAGGACTAAGAGAAAGAACCAACCAGGTGCTTTGTTTCTACAAGGTGCCTTTAAATGCCAAAGGAAACGTCGGATCACATACTGTTTACTGTAAGCTTGGCTTTGACGGAGTAGGATGAGCCAAAGTGATTGGAGATGACACACTGGTATTTCCCTTCGCTGGTAAATTCCACGTTGCGCAGCCGAAGAATGGTGGTGTACTCCATCACCTCCCCGCCTTGGGCCCGGAGGTGTGCATAGTTTTCCATTTCAGCATCAGGCAGTAGTTCGTTGTCCTTTTTCCAAGCGAAAGTCATTGGGGAATCACTGCTGCTGGCGGCCGAGCAGATAAAGCTCAAATTGGAACCTTTTATTGCCGATTGTGTTTCTGGCTGCACCGTGATCTGGGGTTTAGGGAAATCATCTGTTCAGTAATGGAGAGGAGGAAAGAAAACCATGTTAAGGCTTGAGAGTCCACATGCTACTCAGATTTGAACACCAAAAACTCAAAACAAACAGGGGCTTAGGTTTTACCCTTTGTGTGTGTTTCCCAGATGGAGTAGCCGCCCCAGTGTTGAAACGAGAGCCCGGGAGTGTTTATAAAGGAATTCGTTCTTCAAGTAGAGACAGAGATCTATTTATCAATCATTAACTGAGAGGAGCCTGCTGTTTGGGAATACAGTGTATCCCAGACCCCTTGAGCTTTTTAAATGTAAATACAATAAAAAAAAAAATCAGTTAAGAAATGTCCAGGCTTATGGGCCACTTTTAAAGGCTACTATCAGGAAAACTGCAATTCTTCCCATGTTCTCCACATATAAGGAGCAGCAAAATGAAAAAAAAAAAAAAATCAATCAATAATGATAATCAATATCACTAAAGATAGCAATGAATACCCCACTTACCGAAAACAGAACCCGTATTAAACACAGTACTTTGTATGTGGAGCAGAAAAAATAAGCCTGTAGTGAAAGAGAAAGCACCTCCCCCGCTCACTGGGAGCCCTGGCTTCCAGGGGACAATCCATCAAGCCGCTGTGCTACATGTCAGGGCTACATTATAATTACAGCTAAGCAACTCTGTCATTCCACACAGTTATTTTTAGTTCTCTGTTACTTTTTGGAAAAGTTACCTTTTTGAACTTCAGTTTCTCAGAGATGCTCTAAACCCAGAAGGAAACATCTTGGATCTACCAAAATGTACTGTGTGGGTTTGTGTGTGTGAGAGAGAGATGGGGGGAGGGAGGTGCTCTGATAACTCCATTGCTGCTAATTTCCAATGCCATGCCTGCACGTTGTACTCAAGACAGTTTCTTCTTCTGTGTGATTATTCTAAAATCCTCATCTGGAAAATCAATGCTCATTCCCCACTATGGAGGTTAATAAAACGTTACAGCCACTGTATATACGGGTGGGCAAACGTAGGCTTACAGTTGTGAGTGTGCAGAACACTTTATTCTTGCATTGTTTATTAATTATTGTATTATTGCCCATACGAACTGTAAACCTACTTTTGACCGCCACTGTATGCCTCAGAGTAATAAAGAGTTCATATCTGGGAACTTGAGAACTATGAGAATAGCTCATGTCCTTATAGAATAAGGCCAAAAGCTTATTTAGATCCAAAAGCTACATCATTTTATTTCCAGAAATTGTTGGCACTGTTTAATGCTGCAACCTAAATATATATATACACATGCATACATATATACATATATATATATGCAGTTTTAAATAAAAATTTTAAAGGTCAATGTAAAATTAGGTTCTGTAATATCTTAAAACACGTGCTAAAATTTCGGCAAATTGTGACTTCACGTTCTATACACGCATTTGTACAAAGGTCTCCGTGGCAGTGAATAGTAAACTGTGTCGTGTAGTAGGCAGCAAACTGCACCGGGGAGATGAAAGCGTGGGTTTTTTTTATCCAGATCTACTAACTAGTAGGTGACATTTGGGTAAGCACATTTCTAATGCTGAAATGCTTAGATGCTAAAACAATAGACCTTAAATTTATTTATAATAAATTTCCTATTGCTTGTAATGCTTTACCCACCAGTAGTAAAAAAATTTAGCAGCCTATAATTCACTGGCTAATGATTTGCTCTTTCTACTCCACATAAATGGCATCTGCCCCAGGTTTAGTGAAGTCTCTTCACTGAGCTGACGGGAGCCTGTCAACAACCCCCCGGAGTTGGGACCGCAGATCCCAGAGTTCCCGTTTCATACGTATAGAAACCGAGGTTCAGGGAATTTAAGTCACGTAGACGGGCTGGCGCTATACCCTCCCAGTCTCTGGAGCACCAATGTCGTTCTCTTTCCATCAAACCACCCTAATGCCCAAACGAAGATGACGAAAACTCTCCTTCCCATCTGTAAAATTAAAATAATAGGCCAACTACAGATCCATTTTCACCTATCTCAGCAGAAATAAGTGCTTTATTAAAAGAGCATAAATTTATTCAAAACCATTATTTGGACAAATGGGAGACATAAAAAGAAGAATGACTAAAAGGCAGGGGCAACAGTTAGACTCACCACACACAAAGCCATCTGGGCTAACAGCAAAAATGCTTCTTCCCTTCAGCAGCTGAGGATGGGCACAACTGGCATTTACAAAGCTCTGAAAGTTGTTCTCCGCCACCCACTGAGGGAGCCATTTCAGCTGGCAATCACACAAAAGGCTTGATGTATTTAAATGCCTGAGGAGAGTAATTACATTCAATTTGTTTTGTATGAAATGCAGATTTGTACAAGTAAACCAAACTCAAGTAAATATTAGCAACACGATGCATGTGGAAAGCAAATACACATATCCTATGTAATAGTATCCTTTAGTCCATCTTAAAATGCAAGCAATGTGACCAGCACAGTTTTTTGTTGATGTGTTTCCTGACCTAGTGAGACAGAAGTGCTGATAGATCAAAACACCTTCCTGCTGAACACTTGTGACTATGGTTAGGCCCTGTACTGTACGACGGCTCACAGAGTTAAAATGCAAATTCATCACAGAAAGAACAAGAAACTTCTCTTTGTAACAAAAGGAATGGATTTTTCCTTCATTGCTTTTCGCCTTTTCTTTTGTTTTCTGGTATAAAAGTTAAGGAATATTAAGGAAGTGCTAGACACATTTTACAGGGACATAATCTAGGATGATATACCCCACGGTGGTTTCCACTCTATGTTTAACTGAAAACTCTTAGAAAGGAAAACTTACAATTGTTGAAGTTTCTTCATTTGTGAAAATGCATTGCCTTGTAATGACATGATTGCATTGTCACTCAGGTCTCTGAAAACAATCAAACACACAGATTAGAGCCAAGGATGGTCACCGCATGCCCTCAGGCAGAGGCTGGGCCCACTGGCCACTGCATTCACCAAACACTCTCTGTGTTGAAATGCACAAATGGGTCGACTCCAAAGACCCACCAGGAAGTGTAGGCTGAAGAACAAGGATCTTTGTATGAGAGGCCAGTTCTGTTATGGTGACAAAGATTCTCTTTACATTACCACTTACAGGTTACTTGACTCATAAGGGCCCGAACTGTCCTGCTGTATAATTTTATTGAAGTTCTCATTATTCAAGTTAACCATTTTCAATACACAAATAAAATTGCTCGTAATTATGCTTTTTAAAAAACCAGCATATATAGAATAGTCCCTATGATGCGCACTGTGCTAAGTGGCTTACGCATATTACATTTATTCCTCACAGCAACCCAAAAGATGGCATTGCTACCTTGGTCAGCAGGAGGAAAAGGGCAATACGATTTGAACCCAATTATTTTCAATTTCCAAACCTATGCTTAATTGCTAGCCTAATTCTGCCACCCACAACTCGCTACTGTAAAGATGGTTTAAGTGTTTAGACAAGATGTACTTGCTAAAACAAACAAACACTTGAAGCAGAACATTTATACAATGAGCAAATATTCTGGGCGGATTTTATTTTTAACTGGTACTTACAAGCAGTTTGAATTAAAGTGCTCTCCACAATGATTACTACTCTGTTTTTCTTTACAAGGGTCAGAGTATACAAACAGGATTTTGAATGAGACAAGTGGCCACAGAAGACAGAATGAAGGTACCAAACACAGGCAGAGAAAAAAGGCTTGGAGAGTCAAGGAGGTTTAGCAAATTGAAGCAGAGGTTAATACTCCACTAATTCCACTTTCCCAGAAATGGAATGGGTCGGATGACAAACCCTTTTGGCTGGTTTCCCTTTGAAAATAACTTGTTTCAGTAAGCCCGGCAATACTGGTCTGGCCTTCCAAATTCTGCTTTGCACAATCATTCCACCACAGCCTGAGCTGCTACCCTGTCAGTATGGCTAGCCACCCAAATCTCCCACAAGCTAACAGGTAAACCAGGCCATGACAGCAAGATGGCCCAGAGAAAACAGCGCAGCCTCCACTCTCAACACGGGAGAAACAAGAGCACCAACCAAATGTATATTTTAAATTAAAACTTCTTTTGTCTAAGTTAACAGATATTAAAACTTCTGGCTATAAGCATGCCTTAGCAGTGAGAGTGGGCATATCTAGATTACTCTGTACTTTTACTGTCCAAGTATAAAACATATACTCATGGTTATAAGCAGCTGGTTGGTTCAGTGCTCATGCAAGTTTTGACTCCTATCATGGTTGGCTAGCCATGCTCCTTAAGCTGAAAACAGGTTAGCCCCTAAATGCCATGTCAAAATTATGTGCTGGGTGATAATGAGAATGGCCGGTGGCAGAGGCTCTGAAGGCAAGAGCTTGTATGATGCAGGGACACTGTGAAGGCAGAGGCAGCCCTGGTTTGAGTCCTGAATCTATCCGCTGCCAACTACTGGGTTAGTGGCAAGAGAACAAGAAAAAGGACAATAAAGGGGGGGAAAGAGGTTGTACGTTTTATAATTAAACAACAGCAGTTGTACATTTTATACTTAAACAACAAACTAACAAAAACTCTCAAAGTAATGTTAATACCCTCCAAATGTCACTCTCAAGAACTGTGGGGATTGTTTTTTCTAATATCCAAGTCACCTTCCTAACTGTACAATGGAATAAACCCTCAGAATCTCCACTTCTTGGTTTAAAAATAAAGATAATAATAACTATTGAATAGTCTTCTCATAGGATTAATGAGACAATATGCCTGGCATCATGCCCAACATGTTGTGGGTGCATAATAAATGGTAGTTTCAAAATTATGTTTTATTTTTATTTTATTTTTTCCATCACCTGTATCATTTACCTCCTCTTCCAATTCCTCCTCCTTCCCTCTCCCCCAATCACCACACTGCTGTCCATGCCCATGAGTTCTCTTTTTCTTTCTTTTTTGCTCAATCCCTCCACCCTGGCTCATCCTCCCCTCTCCTCCCCCCTCCTGAACTGTATTGCCTGCTCTCCATCTATGAGTCTGTCTCTGTTTTGCTTGGTAGTTCAGTTTGCTCATTAAATTCCACATATGAGTGAATCATATGGTACTTGTCTTTCTCTGACTGGCTTATTTCACTTGATCTGGAGAATAGTATACTAAGTAAAATGGTAGTTTAAAATATATATACCACTTGAGAAAAATAACTAAACAAAACCCAACATAATCTGCAGTAATGCCCCTAAATGGCAAGGAAAATATATAGCTGTATACTTCTAGACAGATACAGATAGATGGATAGACAGATAGATAAGCAGGTAGAAGGGCAGACAGAGGTAAACAGATGGGTAAATGTACTTTATGCTATGAAGAGGTTGTCAACAAGATTACATTTTAGTTTGTCTTATCTTTCCTGACACATAAGTAAATGCCCATCTTAGTCTACCAAGGATAACTAAAGTCCCGCTACTCACAGATGTTCCAACGCATCCAAACCAGTGAAGGCTTTTTTGGTAATAGATCGAATCCGGTTTCCCTGGAGGATTCTGGGGGCAAAAAAAAACAAAACAACAAAATTTACATTGGAATAGTTAATAAAAACCATCTGGGAGTAGAATTCTCATGAGAAGAACTGCTTTTGCAATCACTTGTGAGTACTTTATTTCCTTGAATTGAACAATATATTCTGTAAAAATGTATCTGTGCCATGTACTTCAGTAATATAGTTCAGCATGGTTTTCACAGCATTCAACAGAGAACCCAGCAAAAGTAGGTATTCAATAAATGACTGATGGTTACACTAAAGCAGTGATTTTCAAAGTCTCTAGGAATGGCGAGGCATTCCTACGGGTGGAAACTTTATTCCAAGGACACTGTCTCAGCCCTTTAACAAATAAAGCAGATAACAGTGGAGACTTTCTCTTTAGCCTCCCCACAGACATTCAGGGCTATATGAAACTCAATTTGAAAACCACCGGCTTACAGTACAGAATTTGGCCACCTGCAAGGCCATTTTATGGCTACAGATAAGCATGTTTTGATCCTGGACTGCTTGGAACCTACTTCCCTATTCTCAGTAGATACTGGGCCACTTCATTTAAACATTCATGTGAGTAGATTGCAACAATGAAAATTTTAAACTGTTGAAACTTTTACACAATGATAATCTTTAGAGTCTAAGCCAGGGGTGGGCAAACTTTTTGACTCGAGGGCCACAATGGGTTCTTAAACTGGACTGGAGGGCCGGAACAAAAGCATGGATGGAGTGTTTGTGTGAACTAATATAAATTCAAAGTAAACATCATTACATAAAAGGGTACGGTCTTTTTTTTTTTTTTTAGTTTTATTCATTTCAAACGGGCCGATCCGGCCCGCGGGCCGTAGTTTGCCCACGGCTGGTCTAAGCACTCTCAACAATTTAAAATTCTTATCTAGATATTAAAATAAGTCACACACACCAAAGTGCTGAATAAAAACCCTTAGACCCAAGGAAGAAAGCAAACTCATACACATCTTGTATAACAGCCCTCATTCAGGGAAATGACAAAGGGTAGCAACCACATTAAGCACCTATTTCTACACTTTTTAAGCTTGTGGAACTGACTGAATGAAGACACAATGTTTACTTTAGGTCAAAGAGGGAGTCAAATCATGAGGCAAATCATACTCACAGCCGCCGCAGTTTGTCAAGCCCGGAGAAAGCACCATTCATGTCCTCAATAGTCCAGGAAATTTCATTGTTCTTCAGATCCCTAATATAAAAGAGGGATATTGTGAAACTGGTACTAGGTGCTTAAGAGAATACGCAAGCATTCTCTTTAGGGACACACTCAGAAATCTAAGATCACCACCCAGCTGGCATGTAGTTTGTAATAAATTCCTCATTAATTCCCCACATCATCTCCACCCCTTTCCAAACAATAGAAAATTCGCTCTCTCCCCCAACATAACTCCTACACCCTGTCCTCTTTTTACCACAGCATTTTAAGTTGTCTTTTTTTTTTGCCCAAAATCAGGACATTTGACTCGAGCTCTATTAATTCCTCTATCAAGATGACTAAATTCTGAAAGACTTGAATAGTCTGAAAAATACATTAAGCTTTAAAACCACTGTTCCAACCACATAAGCAGGCGTTCGCCAAAGCATACAGTACGTCTTTCAATTATGTAACGCTTCAAATAGTGAACAGAGCAAAAGCCTCTGACAGTGCAAAAATCAAAAGCCCACTGCCCAACATTAAAATTAACATTTGCTGAGAGTTTTCAAAGGTCAGTTAATCAACTTCCGCTTCTTTCTCTTGGACAGAGATCAAGTCTGGATATAACTGGTATGAGATCTTTGTGCTCTGGGTAATTTTTAATCTGCATTTTCTAAAGAAAAATTAGTGGATTTGAAATTGTTTCCCTCTTGAGCAGTCACCAACTTCCTGGAGATCCTGAGAAGGCTAAGTATAATCACCAAAACAAGCTGATCACTGTCCTTTTTAATCCCTTTAAGAAACACACATGGGTGAAATGGACCGATTTTAATCAAACTGATCTGGGAAAGATTAAGACACTACTTCTAAGGCCGCACACATTTCCTTCACAACAAAGGAAATCTGCTGGGAGGATAGTGGGCACATTTAGGAACCAATTAGGTTCCTGTACAGAGAGCAAAATGTGTAACTTACAAAGTCTTTAAACTGGAAAGCCCCCGGAAGGCACAATCAGCAATGTAGCTGACTTTGTTGTTCCCGATGTGCAGTGTATTTAGCAAGCTTAGGCCCAGGAAGCTTGAATCATCTAACCTCGACAAGTGATTGAACGTTAGGTCCCTGGAAAGGAAAAAGGAACACACACAAAAAAACACCTATCATAGCTTTTACTTTCTAATTCAACACAATGAATTGTTTAAAGAAACAAAACAGGTAATATTAATGTAACCACATTAATCCTTATTCTAAAACTCTGCCTCCTTAATAATCCCCAGGTAAACATTATTCCTAATCCCAGTAATTTAAGAGAAACACCTCTCTTTGAAAATAGCCACCATGCACTGCTTCAGCTCATGTGCCACAGACCTGAAGCATCCGAGTGGTCTCCAACTTATCGCAACAAAAAATGAGACCAGGTTGCATGTGAAAAATGCTGTCACCTGGGATACTGTTATGAAAATTTCACAGATCGGTGGTAAGAAGCTCATGCTCTGGCATGATCCCTGCTCTCAAACTTGGGGAGAATAAAAGGCAACTCACAGCTCACTGAGTTTTTGGCAGAACTCCCAGGCATCAGGGCTGATCCTGTTGATGGCATTCTGGCTGAGATGAAGTTCCTGTAGCATCAGCAAGCCATAAAGCCAGCCTTTGGTGATCTCTGTTAGGTTGTTATGGTCCAGCTGCCTACAATGACAACACGAATCAAAAGCAGGATCAAGAGTTCATTATCTAGTCTCTTCCAAGGGGACCTATGATGATAGCCTATTACATATTCCTATTGTCACTAGTTAGCTTCTGTTAAAGACCTCAGCAAAAAACAAACACACCATGTGCTTATAAATTCTCACTTTACTTGAGACAAAACTAAATTATAAATGACTGCAAATGATGAGACCTTAACATGATAGGATTTCAAATAAAAGCTGCTGAATGTTCAGTGATCACACGACCTGGATAGGAATTATGATAAACCACACTTACAAGATTTCCATGTTGCTCAGCCCCCAAAAAGCTCCATCCATAAGTCTTGTTACTCCGTTTCTTTGCATTTTCAGAGACTTCAAAGCTCCCAGCCCTTGGAACGTGAGCCCATCTACATTTTTTATCTTGTTTCGGTTCAGTTCACTGCATTGGATATTACAGTTAAATTGTTAGCTTACAGGACAAATTCTGGAGGTAGTAATAACATGTCACATTACTACAATGTAGTTACACCAGCCAGTGTTAAATTACATATTGTCTTAAATTTCTAAATATTTTTATCCAGAAAAATGTTGATTTATTAACAGTAAGTGAATTTCCTTCTGAAATGTGTGATGTATTTTTGAAATGATAAAATACTGAAACTAGACTACACTTTTACTTCAAAACTGTTGTCCACTCAGTATAAAAGTAAACAAACTAATATATTTTTTTAATTACCTAGAATAATGAATGTTACATTCAGACATTAGGCCTTTTCAGGAACAGGGACAAATTTATCCTGTCCAATCTGCTTACAACAGTTGGTTACTCTCGTGACCCTTCACGTTTACTGCTTTCTCTTTAAGGCCGTCGTTCTCAACCTTGGTTGCACACTGGAATCACCTGGAGAGTTTTAAAAATTACTGAGGCCTGGATCTTACCCCCAGAGGTTCTAATATAATTGGTGCAGGGTGTGGCCTGGTCACTGGGATTTTTTAAAGCTCCCCAAGTGTCTGTAATGTGCAGCCAAGGTTGAAAACCACTATTTTGTAGAAGCCTGTTCGCAGATCATTCCACCATTATTAACGAGACAGTTCTTTACAGCCACTTAAGCTATCAGAGCCTCCTGGAGTTGTCGGCATTATTCTCATAAACCACAGCTGTTGAGAGTCCCCATGATTTCTCCAGTGCCACAATGACGCCTTTGTACAGAGGCTGCTCAATGATTACACTGTTCACTCTTTTGGTAACAATCCGACATGCCTTGTCAGGCAGGAGCTTGTACGAGGTGACTTCAGGCTGTTGTGATCCGGGGATTCCAGAACTCTGGCTCTCGAAGGGAAGACAGCAACATCCCTGCTTCTAAACTCCTTCTGCCACATTGTGGCTTGTAGGGGACAGATACCAAGGGTGTAGAGGAGGTGAGGAAACATTACCTGAGTCTTAGGTCCTAAGAGATGTTTTACTTACAGGTGTTGCAGCTGGGGCAGTTTGAACATCTTGGGTGGTATAGCTGAGATCCGGTTCCTGTTCAGCTTCAACGCCAGGAGCGTGTTGGCCAAATTATCAAAACACCCAGGTTCCATCGATGTGATCCGGTTGCTGCTGATGTACCTGTTGAAAGTCTGAAGATGAGCTTCTCTTTCTGGTTTCTTTGGGAAGACAGAGCGCATGCATCGTCTGTGTTATAAAGAATCTCCACAGAACCTGACCACCAGCTGTAACAATGGACACTAAATAATCGCTCTGTAGGTCCTTGTGGACCAGTGCTGACTATGATTCACACACTTTGGTGGGGAAAGAGTAACTGGAAAATCTGAAAGTTATAAAAATTTGTTAGAGATGTTTACTCACTCTTTGGAAACTAATTTCTTTTTTATGAATGTATTAATAAAACAATAATTGAACAATGGTTTAAATCTGATTTCTTTTTAAAGAAGCAGTCTGTACCCCGTTAAGTTTTCTAACAGCCAAGGGATGTCTAATTTTTTGTAAGAGTAAAATGAAGGTTATGGTTGTTCAGATTTAAAGCAAATTATAAGTCAATAAGGAAGTTATATTTTTGATATATCAGCAGTAAAATAAGCAGTTTGTTACATCTTAAAGTTGATTTTCTTGTTATAATGTGATAGTTTCACCAAAACTAAATACTTCTGCTAAAGAAATCTTGACTTACAGATATTTGAGTTGTAGAGGTGGAAATGCAGTTTTAAGCTCTGAAATATTATTGCTGCTGAGGTCCAAAGTTTCCAGGGACTGAAAGTGTTTCAGCTGTTCAGGTAATATTTCAGCAATCCTGTTTCCAGCTCTGGAATGAAGGAAAGCAAAGATAATAGGAGGGATGGTACGACAATCAGAAAGGTGAATAATATTCTCTATTCCTCACTTGCTTTCCAGAAAAAATGGAAAACTGCTCTAAACAGTACTTTTTAAAAGTTAAACAGCATCTCTCTACTTTAATTTTGAATTAAATAGTACGCTGTAACATTAGAATATAATATGAAGAACATCCCTATAAAAATATGGGCATGTTACCTAAATGCTATGCACTTCGGAGCAAAGATGGCTGCACTCTAACAGGAGGCTGAGTGCCCTTACTCCCAGCCACGGACTGGATTTACAGCTAAAATACCGCGCAGTCGGCTGGGAAAAACAAGAAAAGCATAGCTGATTGGACGTATTTTGACCGAGGAACACTGAAGACAAACAACGTAGAGAGTGCACCTACACAACAGCTCACACGGTGTGGTAGGGCTGAGCCTCATAGCCTGAAAGGAGAGTCCTCCCATGAATGGGGCAACGGCAATCTAGACCCAATCACAACAGAAGAGTCCAAATAACCCACAAAAGGGACACGCCTCGAGCATATAGCTCAGAAGTACAAGGAAGACACACCGCTAGGCCCCACAGGACATTCACTACAAAAGCCCACCCCACAAGACGGGGAGTCAGAGCAAACATATCTAATACATAAATGCTATGCACTTACACTGCTTTTTCTTTGTTATTTGGTTAATATCCATTCTTCCTTTTCCTTTTTATTGAACAGTATGTGAGTGCCAGCACCGAGCTGGCAGTCCAGGCACTAATCTGCTAGCTCCCTCTTCCTTCTTCTTGATTCCTCATCTACCTGTAATTCTTCGCTTGGAAAGTACCCACACTTCAATACTCATCAGACCGGCGCTTTTCAAAAGCCATCCTAGAAAGATCTTTTTCTTTAAGAAATAACAAGTTTCAATACATTTCCACCGTCTTCCAAACCAGTGGATGTGTTTCAGGGCTCAGAATTTGATACAGTACTACACAGGAGCATCTCAGTTTACGTAATCACTGGTAGTAATTACACTTAAAATTTTTGACATGGCCCTGGCCAGTTTGGCTCAGTGGATAGAGCGTCGGCCTGCAGACTGAAGGGTCCCGGGTTTGGTTCCGGTCAAGGGGATGTGCCTTGGCTGCGGGCACATCCCCGGTGGGGGTGTATGCAGGGGGCAGCTGATCGATGTTTCTCATCGATGTTTCTGACTCTCTGTTCCTCTCCCTTTCTCTCTGTGAAAAATCAATAAAATATATTTACAAGAAAAAAAATTTTTGACATTAAGTCCTAGATACCAAACCAGGACGTCCAACATGGTAGCTACATGCGGCTCTTTAAATTTAAGTAAAATCCAATGTTAAAATTCAATTCCTTAGTCATCGTAGCCACATCTCAAGTCCTCAGTAGCCACAGGTGTCCAGGGGCTGTCAAACGGGACAGTACGCACACAGAACATCTCTATCACTGTGGAAAGTTCTATTGGCGAGCACTGTACTAGACTACAAATTAAAAAAAAAAAAAAAAGAGGCCAAGGCAAAGCTCTAAAGAGGCCATCAATACAACAGATTCCAAGGCGAAAGTCAGCGTTAAATGGCCATGTTGCTAGAAAAGAGGAATTAAACTGAGGTGAGGGTCATCTTGATTGCTATATCAGATCTTTGTCTTTCCAGTCATTTGGCAGAGGAAATAGCACGTGAAGGTAGAAAGGTTGGGAAGGTAACAGTCTACCTACAAACAAAAGGTCTTCTCTTCACAACCCACCCAAGAACAAGAAAACACTCTGAAGGCAGAACTCTGTATGCAAGACAAGTCACATGCTGGCATTTCTAAACCTAGTCTGCAGTTAACCTCTGCTTAGTGAGAAAACTTAGAAGATGTATCTCATATATGTATGTTTCTTACCAACAGATATAGTTCTATGGTGTTGAGTTTATTAAGCTTTTTTGCATTAGTATAAGTCACAGTCCTCTCACCATCTCAGAAAGCTCCTGAGGTAGGTTCAACTTGATGTATTTTCCACCAAGTCCTGTGTTGTGTCTTCCGTAGCCCTTACCCTGCGGCCTTGTCTGTCATGCTGTGCACTACCCCCTCCATGCAGGGAGATATGTCTCTACACCTCTATCTTGGAATGTGCATGGAATCTAATCATGTTGAAGATATATTATTAGATTCCAAGCTCTACGCTAAGCATTTTTCAATATATATATTTGCCACTTAACCACAACAATATTTCTCTGGTATAGATATTACAGTTAAAATTAGGAAATTAAAGCTTTTAATCTAATAGCGCAAGCACTCCCAACGCACCTCACAGAGTAAACCCTTATTGGTCCCAAGGCCATCTCTGAAGGCTTGTTTCATGGCATACAGTTTCAAAGGTATTTTGACAATTAAGGCCTCATGGGGAGATGCACTAAAGAAATGCCTACTACTTCCCACCCTTGTAAAAATGCTGTCCTTCTGGTTTCAAGCTAATGTGGGAATCCACCCTGGCTCACTGAGGCACCATCATGCCACAGTAAGGAAGCCCTGGAAATGCCTCAGCTGTGTTTGCACACAAGGTAGATCAGAGTGGGGCCAGGGTTCTGCATGTGCCTGGCACCCATCACAGAAGAACTTCCTGAATGCGTGCAAACTTCAGGTGTGGCTTTCCTCACAAAAGAGAATAAGGTTGTTACGTTTTCTATGTAGACAACTAATGAAACTTCTCAAAGCCGTGCTGAAATCCTCCCTATGCCACTTTCAAGGGCTGTGGGGGAAATCTTTTTTTTTTGATCCAAGTCATCTGAGAATCTAACCCCATTGTAAAGTAATTCTATACAAGGTAACAAGGTGATGCATATGGTAAGAGCTAAACTTTTGTGATAACAGTAAGGTGAAAAACACACATACAAGGCACAAATATCAAGGCCTCAGATTCCCATAACGTCTTACAGACTTTGTTTAGAGTTAAGTCAGCCATGACCTCTGATTCTGACCATTTCCCACATCTGGATTCACCAGTGTATAAGCTCCTTGATCTAGTTGTGAGGTACAGGGCAATACAAGTGAGACAATTAGTCAATTTCTAGGTCCCGGAGATGGATTCAGTCCAAGAGACAAGCCACAGGGCCTTAGGGTTAGTGTGTGTGGGTTAAACAAAACCACGCTTTAGGGGACAAAAATGTTCGCTTAAATACATAAGCCAACTGTTTGCATTACCAGGATGTCCTCCCACAATCAGTGGAGTAACCCTGAAGTGCCCAAGTCACCTCCCCCCCTCTCCACCTCCCTCCCGTCCCCAGCCAGTACCTCCCATTAAACTCTACATCTGGTTTTGGCCCCCAGGCTGTCTGGGGCTAGTACAGCTACACTTATATTTAACAACAACAAAAAGAAAATGCTCAGCTTTAGTTTTCTGCAATAAACGGAGCAAATTGGTTTTTGGTGGGAGAGGGCGGGGGACCCACAGGTGTCTATCCCCTTGGTCAAATAAGGCTACGAGTTAGATAACAGGCCTTACAATCCTTGGTTTATATATTCGTTTGTTTATAAGGTAATTATGAACAAGGTATTAAAACTGCCAATTACTTGAGTGACGAATAAAATTTTCCTTGCAGTGAAAGTATGCTCCAGCCAAAGCCAGCCATTTCCTGAGCTGCACACCTCCTAAACTGCAGTGTGAAAGTGCTCAGTTACAGACGGGCGGCACAGTGCCGTCTTTGTCAGCCCCACTCCCCGGCACAAAAATCCCTCACAACTGCCAGGATAATAGTCCCTGTATCACAGAATCCGGCCTCTGTCCTCATGGAGCTGAACTGAATCCAAATACCAGTTTCACATTAGCTCTCAGACTTAACTGGCCAATAACTACCTGATATGCACCAGTTTTGTTTTTGTTTTTAAAGCCATGCTTTATATCATGAAAGGGTTTTTTTAAAAGGAGACAGCTACATTTAAAACGCTAGATTAAAAACTCTTTTTAATCACCTAAAACCCTCCGTCTAAACACGTCTGATACTAAGAGTGGGCCACAATTAGCCACTTCTAGAAGACAAAGATTTAATTCAAATTCAGCGTTCATTTTTTCTCCAAATATGGATACCTACCAAAATTGATGGGCACATTAAAAGCACTGCTGTTAATGTTTTTGGCGGGAAGTATGAATTGCTTTAACAAAACAACAACAACAACAAAAGCCAAACTGTGTGAATATCTTTTTCCATTACTTAAGTTAATGTGGAAATGCCATCTTTGCATTGTTCAAAAACCACACTATGGTACTATAAGCATTGGAAGGTGTTTCAAACATGGTGTTTCAATCCATCTTAAAGACTACGAATATTTTGGTCTTCTCTGCTTGTTGACAGTACAAGGTGTTCCACAGTTAATCACTGCCGGGGTCAAGTATAATCAGTCCCTTGTGGACAGACACAGACCTGGGGTCCTGGTCGGCTGGAATGCACAGGGTTCCCTCAGGCTTCTCAGAGCCACAGCAAACACAGTCCCAGGTATTTCAGCTGTGGCTTCTCAGGCCCAGCAATAAAGGCTTCATTTTTTACTAACTTCACCTTTCAGCCTACTTTGCCAAAGGCCTTTAAATATAGAGGCAAACATGACTGACCATTTTGTATGATGACATTTGTTCTGAGAGTGTTCAAGATCTAATAATGAAGGAGGGAGATATGGTCCCTGACCTCGCAGAGCTGAAATTGCCGTGGGGTCAGGAGAAAAGGCAGGCAAACGGGAGTGGTCACGGAAGTGACAAGTGCTATGATAAGGAAGTAGTGAAGTGGAAGAGGGAAGGGCAGCCTCCTAGCAAGTGGTGGGAGGGGTGCAGGAGGTCAGCAGCACTTCCCACAGCCAGGAGCCCCCTAGTGTTCCAAGCAGAAGCAAGCGAGAGTGAGGCAAGGTCCCTTTGAGGAAGTGAAAGAAAAAAGACAGCCTTGATGGCTGAAGTATAGTGTTCATGGGTAGAGACTGCAGACAGAGGAAGTTCAAGCGTGAGGTGCTGG